TGTGTATTAGTTACAGCTTTCTGTTTACTATGTGTGTGGCTTTCACTCATGAGCCATTGCCCCTCAGAATTACTTTTGCTTTTATTCCTCTTTCTTAGAAGTAGCTGAATTTGAACAATCATTTGTCTTTAGCTTTTTGGCGAATGGAATAGAAGTAGCTTATACTGTTTGCTGTTCTAACTCATCCAAATAAGATACTGCTAAAAAGTAAACTCTCATATTTCCCCCATGAGAGATCATTCACACATATATAAATCATGCAAGCACATTTCAAAATGTAACAACTACTTCAAATTTCTTAATGTTAGTTTTTTCAATAGGATTCTAAACTATCAGGGGTATGTTTTTGTTCTAGGTCATTTTGGTCAAGAAAGTAATCTAATGGATACCATAGTGCTTGTATAATAATCAATGGAGGGTAAAGAAAGTAACATTTTAGGACCCCTGAGGTCATCTCTCATAATCCTCACCCCGTGAGAAGATGTAGGTTGGTAAATGACAGACCCAGGACTTGAATCCGTATCTGAATGACTCCAAAGCCAGCACTCTTTGTGTTAGATCATCTGGGAATGGGAAATGTTCTAATTACTGTGTTCAATTTCATATTTGTTGTTCTTAAAGCTGTTATTTTCTTCTCTAGAAAGTCCGACATCCAAGATTCACAAAGTCAGTTCAGGCCAGGCAAGAACCCATGACAAACAGTAAGTTATTTGAAGACTGTCTTTTTGCGTTTTCACTGATGAGAAATTATAGACAATTTCATCTACCATACCTTGTTTTCACTACAGCAGAGGCAAAAGATGGTGTTTCGAAACCAGGAACTAGCACCTTCTTTGAGGACAATAATTCTAATAATGAAAATGAAGATGCGGTTACAACCTTTTCCCAACCATCAACCAAAGTTCCAGGCTTTTCTCATCCTGCCTTCCCAGCACCGGAACCTCTCGCGTCTTCAGCGGTCCTTGGTGTTACAGAGGCAAGTCGTTTTGTTTTCCACTTTTCCTTCCTGTGCTTTTTCACTTAGCATCCCCCTGATTCTCATGGGGATGAAAAGGATCCTACACAGAAATGGAAGTCTTCAAGATCACAATAGAAAACAGTGTGATAACGAGAGGGTACACGTGCAAGACTGAGATTTGTAAAGGTTGGTGGCAATAAACAGTTCTCAAATACGCCATGAAGAAAAGAAAGAATAAGGAAGCAACTGGAAAGAACAGCTGGATGAATATGAAGATGGGCAGGGGTACAAAGGGGAAGGGTTCCTCTAATAAGGACAAGATGAATATAAAGATAAACGAGTGTCAAAATGAGAGAGATGATTATACAGACACAGCAGAAACAGTGGGGTTAAGTGAGATTATGATAGAAATTATCTCAAATTCAAATTAAAAGAAGGAAAAGTCAGGTCATGGAAAAAAGTGCTCAGACTCTTCTGAAGGACATAGAGCTGATTTTATGAACAACAGAAAGAAAATGTGATCCTCACCTTTTTTCTTTTTGGTTATAGAAGTTTTTTTTTTTTTAATTCAAATGTAATTGATGTACAGTATTGTATGAGTTACAGGTGTGCGGTAAAGTGATTTGGTTATACATATATATGTACATATCTAATTTTTTTTCTTTCTTTTCCATTATAGTTTTTTATGAGATATTGAATATAGTTCCCTATGGAAGTTAGTTTTAACTTGAAGTTATTTCTGTTTTTAGAAATCCTCATATTTAAATTAATGAAGCAATGTCTTATATTTAATCTAGCAAATTTTGTCTCTCCATTCTGTCCCCAGTAACTGAGTTCTAGTTTTCCATGTGACTTCTCATGCTGTTTCACACCTCGACCTTGGGCTCAGGCTGCCCTTTTTAGAATCCCCTTCACATCTGCTCTTTGCACTGGGTCTGTCTTTTAAGACACAGCCTGGTCTTCCCAGCATTCCCGGAGCTATTGACATGCAGCAAGTCTCTTCTCTCCTTTGTGCCCTTACTGTATCTGTTCACTTCAGGTGTAGAGCCGTTGAATGATACTTGTCTGTGTTGACTGATTTTCATGTGTCTCTGCCTCCCCTAGAATATAGAGCAGAATCTGTCTTGTGTATTTATTGCCAGCTTCTCCCAGGAT